GCTCGGAATCGCGCTTAATCCGCTTGGCTTACTCCGAGACGTTCCACGGGGAAGTAGTCGCGATTAGAGCGGGAACCAAAAACGAAATCTGTATAATAGAACCTGTGACATCGCATTGGAAATGGGTGATTAAATAAATGTTTCTCTTTTATTATTTAACACTTTGCACTCGAAGGCATTTTTTCTGGTATCTATCAGCAAAGTGGTGAAACGAGACTATGGCCTGGCAAGTAAGGAGAATCGGTAGAAACAGACACCGGTCAGACTTGGGCCACGATGAAAAGAAAGCAGCAAAAATGTTACTCTAGATGACAACTGAAGAAGTATACCTGTATCAAACGGTAAAATCAGGTAAACCAGTAGAAACAGGCAACAGTTAGACTTGAATAATATTAGGATGTTGGATTTTACTGCGAATACTGTAGACAGCGAGAGCCGTCGTATATTACGAGTTGTTAACTATCAGCAACTCGAGATGCTTTCTTAGCATTCTATTGTCACGAATACTAAGCTTACATTGACTTCGAAAATAAGATCTCTAATTTGAGATTTGAGGATCAGGTCATCTTTGCCTTAACGACAATCATTTTATTGACACTTCGAGTTCCAAAGAAATTGAACCTAAAGAAAACCTAGTAGTGAGTAAGAGTCACCTCTCGAGTGCAAAGGGTTAATAAACTAGACTCTATTATATTATTCAATCTATATCAAGGAAATTACGTCCGTACCGCACATCTTTCAAAAAACTAAACTGACTGAAAGAAAAATCCATTCACAGGAAACCGACCAAGATTAGTCGTTCAATAAAGGGACTATTCATTAACGCACGTGTTCATTCGTTCAAAGAATATTACATAAACACATCCTATCACGCGTCGAGCATATCATGTGTCGATCGATTTTTGTTAGTCGTATATTCCAACACATCGCTTGTTACATAAAAATGTTTATATAAAGCATTCAGTTTTCTGGTATTATTCGTGAAAGCTATATATGTATTTTAATATGTAGAGTGATGTTTATTATGAAAATGAAGAGGTGAAATAAAGTGGCGCAGCAGGAAGAGTAATCAGTGGAGAACTGGGAGGAAAGTGGAAAAGAGAAATTCAAGGAGAGATGCAGAGGTTGAAAGTTACAGGATGGAAGGCTGGTGGAAGGTAAAAAATAAGAGGAACTTACGGAGGGTGAAAAATAGGAGGAACTTCCCAAGGAAATGGGAAAACAGAAGGGGAACGGAGAGACGTACGAAGGAAGGTGGAAACAGATGAAGAGGTAAAAACGGTTATCTAGAAGAACTTGGAACAAACGGATCCGTAATGCGGAACAATGGATCTGAAAAATCTGCAAAGAAGTCTGCCGTTCGCGAAGGAAACTTATGTACATAATACGAACATAAACTCGCGGGAACATAGCTCCGCGATAGGGTGGAGAGGACATTGAACGAAAGGTACAATGTCGTTCAAAAGTCGGGGATCATCTATCATTGTCAATTCGTAAATTCGTCCCTTGGGTGGAGAGGGTATCGCTGATGAAATGTATACACATATCGGTGTCCCCATCAAAGTTATTAAACTTGAATTCAGTTTTATACGAAAGGGTACATTCTCGTGTCATTTAAACATATAAATCTGAACGCAGATACGAATAACACGTTTTTTATTTTCAATATCGGAATATTTTTAAGTACAATTCCAAGGTAATAAATAAGTCTCAAACAGTACCTCAATCTATGTATATCGTGCTTTGTATACCTAAGAAAATATCAGTTTTGATCATTCGAACCCCTTCGATGGCAGATTTTTGAACGACAGGGTATAGGACGGCTCGTGGACAGAGACACCACATACCTGACCATGGATGGAACAGAGAAACCTCGAAACCTCGGCACACACACAGAGACGGCCAACGGCCAGTGGAAACCCGGAGGGTTGGAGGGAGAGAAAGAGGCACAGAGAGGAAACAGAGGAGAGGGAGGTTCCTAACGTGGCGTTAGCGAGCGAAGCAGCGGGGTGGTGGTTGTGGGTGACGGGTTAGGTCGGGTGGGTGGCGGTGGTAGCTACTACACCCGATGGGGTAGTAGTAGGTGCGCACCCTACGCGGATACCAGGTGAGTGGGGCAGAGTACCGACCAACCCCCGGGACAAAACGCGAAAAACCACTTGTACGTCCCAGTCCTGGCTGCTGCCGGTGTCCTGGCGATCCTCCCTCCGCCCCGGGGATCCCTTCTGCCACCCCCTATTCCGTCGATCCCGCTCCGTGGGTTCCTCGAGGCGTCCTGTCGCTAGTCAGTCATTCGGTCAGGCCAGTCCCGCGACCGACGTCGATTCGAATCGCGACTCCTCCTCCGACGCTCGTGTTTCCTTCCATCAGTTTAAATACGACCGCGAGCCGCGCCAGTGTCCCTGACGTCCCTCGTCGATCGAACGCGCGGATCGATCTAGATCCTCCGACGCCCACGAGAGGAGCCGCGGGGAGAGAAAGTGTCGACAAGGGGAGAGTGACGACCCAGGCGATGCGAGAAGCACCCTTCATCGATCCAGGTCCAACCAGGAGTGAGACGACGCGGTCCGGGATCCCGAATCTGTGATCCAGAAGGATCGAGGATCCTCAGCGAGTCACCCAGTGCGCGGCCAACCTACCGTGTTCTCCTTTCTTTTTTTTTCTTCTTCTTTTTTTTTGTATTTTCATGTCTTCTCATGAAACGCTGCGACCAGGATTGCCTCTGAGTGGTGTGCTCCACGAGCGATGCGAGGGTGGTTCCACGAATTCGTACTTCTGAGTATAAAATGGAGTCTCGCGAGGGGAACGTGCAATGGGGAGCCTTGGCTAACGGGGAATTTCTTGGATGTTTGCTTATTCCGAATTCTTGTAAGGGGTGTTTTTGAATGTTCGAAGTAAACTGTGTCGAGTAGAATGATTATTGGCGGATTGTGCGACGTTAAATTTATTATTAAGAAACCTTCGTGATTGTGATTTGCAAGGAATGAGCACGTAGATGTTAATCCAAGGCGCGGTTCTTCGGGGGAAATGTATTCGGATTCTTTGTGCGCTTTGTTTTCCGTGGAAGATGCAGAGATACGAATCAGAAATCCACCCAGAGGCAATCCTCTTCAGCTCCCCAAAACAGTGAGGCTCCTTTGGGAAGAATTTATCTTCTTTTCTTTCTCGAGGGAAAATGATACTGATATTTCATGAGTAATACTCTGGAACGTCCAGAAAAGGACACCTTTGGTCGAGAAAAAGAAACGTATAAATACTTGTTTCCTTTTCGACAAATTTTATTAACTCAACCAGAGATCAGAATTAACAACTAACAGAAACATTTTTCTTTCGAGACGTTTTATTTTAATTCGCGAGATCATCGCCAATGGGTTTCCATTCGACACGTTGTTGGTTAATTTTCAAGCGTGGTTCGCTCCGTTGTTGAACAAACGGGGCGTCGTAATTGGCTCGGGGAAGACGCGTCGCGATGACTTGTTGCTCGATACGACAGCTTTTGTTCACCCTAAATGTTCTAAAAATATGTGTTTCCTCGTCAGGAGTGGTTAGTGAGAAAGGCAATTAACCTCTTGCTGCCTCGCGCTTCTTCCTCCCCCGGGTTAATAAGGGAGAACACGAATTCGAGGGTGAATAATATTGGACGAGACTTGAACATAATTGAATCACGCGTTTTCCGAGGCTTGTCGCGTTGTCAAAACTCCCGCCCTTTTAATTATAATCGGCTACCATGTTTTAAAACGATGAGGTTATATTTAAGACTAGCTGTGCCCCGCGCGAAATACTATTTATTTTATGTCGTTCGCATTGGACCGCGTGTTCCTTCGTGAATCAGTAAGTGACTGTCGTTTCTTTTCCGTAACTCAAATGTTTCGATCGATATTTCCGATAGCCGAACCCCGCGGTTTCACCCGTGTGGAATACCAACGTTGCAACCCCTTCGGGGTTGAATTTCAAAATATCCTTCCTTATTCCTTGTATACATCACACAGGGAAACCTCTGGGCAAAATTTCAACTTTCTAGATTCAAGGGTTTAGCCTGGACATTGATTGGAATCAGTCGAGGCATCATTCTTATATATATAGATGATTTTGCGAGGGGATAAATAAATCGAAAATGACAGAGTATTTTAATTTAAGCTTTTAATTTTGAGAAAATTGGTCTTAAATCTTTTTAGAGCACTTGTACGACTTGACCAGAATGTCTGACTATTATTCACCATTTCTACTTATGTTGCTAATTTATGTTGCTTCTGTTATGTTAGTGTCCATTTCGATCAGTTGTAATCATTTAAGAAATTGCAGTTTGCATAGAAGAGGTATGGTACGTTGGACAATGCCAGGATCAGTAGAACTGGCCAGTCGTGGTCAGACATGGTTAGCCAAACCTTTCGATTTATTTTTACAAAAACGAAGTTTCCTGTGAAAAAATATTATTCTTCATTTTCGATTCGTTTTCAAGCAAAGAATCAGTCAGGGCTTCATTCTTATATATCTATAGATCATTTTTAATGAAACCTACACGATAGACTGAAATAAAATTTAAATGTATACATGAATTTTTGTTTAGTCATTTAATTCGATAGTATATTAAATATGGTTTCTTTTTTTTAATTGTTGATTGAAATGAACAATTATATTCATATTTATACGAATATAAATTATTCCAGAATCAGAGTGATTTTAGTTCGTGGTATTATATCTTCACATGAAGTATCGAGATAAATCTGTTTAATAGAGTACCGCCCGAAAGGGATTCAAAATTGTATTCAACAAGTGCTTATCGAGAAGTGCACACGCAGGCTGGCCTGGAAAGAAAATCGAAGCCCTCGGGGGTGAAGAGTGACTGCAAAAATGGACAAGCAGTGTCCAATGGAGATGGGGAGTCACCCCTGTCGAGGTAATTTACGATTTCCTGTTCCAACTCGACGCGAGCGACATACTTCCCCTCCATTCGTCAAAGTAAGCAAAGGTCGTCGGTGACGCCATATTTATGACACTGTTGTCCGGTCGCTCGATGCAGAAAAATTGCTTGAAAAATGTCCGAGGAAACGGATAATCAAAATAAAATAAAAGGGGCATCTTTCATCTTCGAAATTTACACTTGGGAGCAAAATTCCTATACAGCAAATAATTTAATAACAATTCATTTTAGAATTATTCGACCAATATATTTTTTTTTTTTGTTCTTTTGCTAAGTCCAGTTAATTACTAAATACTTGTAAGTCCAATATCTAAAACACGTAGTTCAAATATAAACAAGTAATTGCCTCCTCGTAAAACTTTCTTTGTAGAACGGCAGAGTCGAGTCGGTTCCATCGCTGTCCTTGACGTTCGATCGTCGTTTTCCTTTGAACCGGAAAAATTTATTTGAAATTTCTACCCATTGTCCGCGACGGCAAGGGAAATTCGATTCACGCGACTCGTTGCGCGATTTCTCGACGTTCAGTTTCGAGCTGAATAGATTCCCCGGGCAGAAGTTGCTCGTCATGAATGCCACCGATCGTGCATGCATACAGAGGCTTTACACGTCGATACATTGTGGCACATATGGGATCAACGTGGGGCGTGATCGATCAGTGACGTGTTACTGAAACAGCCGGCTAACGTTGCTCCTTTCCGCAGTGTCTCATGAATGTCGCGCGTTATGCGAATCGATTTTCGATTGTGCCAATTTTTCCCGTCCTCCTCGCGAGTGCCGAGGCATGAGACGTCATTTTCAATTAAAACGATCGCTCGAAATAACATATTAAATTTTTACGTTCGGATGATGCTTGAAACTTTTAATACGAGGAAGTGTTTTATCTTTTGTGGTTTTATTTTAAGCTAGAAGGATGTTCTCTAGAATATTTAAAAAGGCTTGGAAAATTATATACACAAGCCAAAAGTTGTTAACCTGAAAAGAACCTCTGGGAAGCAAGTTCCTCGTCGTTTATCAACGTCCACGTTGTAAAAGTAGGAGAAAAAGAAAACCATGTCTCGTGACTACGTGACCATAAAGTTTAGTCTCTAGATTTCCCATTTTCCATTCTTGGTTTCTATTCAATAAATTCTACGGAGAAGAAAGATATTTTACTAACATTCTTGGCTGTTCGATTGTCCAATTTCGAAATCATCCACATTGGTTTTCCATGGACGAATTTGAAAATCATTCGAGGACGCGACGTTCGCACCGATCACGAAAAAATGACACGCGATCGATCACACGCAGGTGTCATCGAACCAACCGAATGACACAGTTTCACCGTGTCGTGTCCAAGGTACTCAATTTTTCATTGGACTCACGTGTTACGAGTATCATCCCATTTTCATTATTAATCCCTCGCTTGTAATTGCGAACGACGAGCATTTCCCCTCGCGAGTCCTTTATTACTCCTACCTTGGTCAGTTTCGTTATTTCCCGCTCGAACATTTCCATTTCTACTCCAATTTAACCGTAAATTTTTAAACGTAAATTTTCACGAAATATTTTCCTCGTGTTTCGCGTCCGATTCTTTAAAACGTCGCAAACAAGACGGTAAAATGTCCAAAACGAAACGACAACACCTCGATTCCCGTACTTTCGTTTCGTTTTATTCCGTTAAAACCACTCACGTCGAGGAAACAGGAGAATAGTTTAAACTTCTCTTCGAAAGTTTCCAGCTAGATCGAACACGACAAACAATAAGGCCAAAGTGATTTCCCGGACCAGATGGGGTCCAGAGTTTCCCTCAGATTTTATCTCACAGTCCCGTTAGTCTTCTTTTCGCCGTGAATTTTTCTCGCTTCGGTTCGGAAACGGGAATCTCAAGTTTCGCCGTTCGCTGAAAACTTTTCAACCGTGCTTTTCAACCGTGCTTTTCAACCGTGCTTTTCAACCGTGCGAGCCGTGTACGTAAATACAAAGTAGGTTCGTCGGCGGTATGACACACGCGGGATCGATGATGCGCGTACAAGAACTGAGAATACGAGCGTCGATCAGCGGATGCGTCGTCGATGGTGGACGAACGAGGTCGACCCGGTTACGTTGTTACCGTCCTGTCCATTATTCGGTTTTTACTTCGGCCAGGGACTACGGGGAAGATTGATGACTCTTGGGGGCCCTCTACCCATCCGAAAATGGGAGGAAATCTATTCGAGGATTTTGGAAACGCCTTTTCCGCGTCGCGTCCCACGGGAAACTTCTTCGGGTAATTTGCGGAAGGTTAGGTCTCTGAATCTCCTGTCATTAATTTTGATAGCTGTACTCATAAAAGGGATGGGAATTGGTTTGGGGAGGAAAAAGTCTAATGGGAATGTTGCCTTAGTTTCCAGAATTTTATGTTGATTGATTAAGAAGGATTAGGTGGAAGTGGGGATTAATGAATTCTTCATTTTTCTATGTGTTGGAAAAAGATTTTTAACCGACTTCGAAAAGGAGGAGGTTACTCAATTCGACGTGTATATTTTTTTTCTTTTCTTTTTTATAATTTTGAATTAAAATAAGTAATAGTAATTAGAAATTACATTTTTATTTTATCAAAATATTCCTTTTTTCAGGAATATTACTTAAATTATATATAATAAATTTAATTTTATATATATACATATTATTTATTTAATATATATTATATATAATAATAAAAATTATATATATATATATATATATATATATATATATATATATGTATATATATATAGGTATATAGTATATGGTTTAATGACGTTAGGTGAAAATGTGGCTTAATATCGAAGCATTCCACCAAAAAAAAAAATTGAAAATAGAGACGGTGCCCAACAGGAATTTGGCGAAAGTGTGTTCTAACGACTCTTCTCAAAAGGAGCCATCTTGAACCTAACCCTTCCCAGAAAGCATTTCCATTTCTCGAGTCTCAGACCTCGGTTTCAATTTCCCACCCAAGTATACCTTCGAATCTCTATAACTCCGATCCCGCTATTTCTAGCGGACTTCCAATCGTGCAACCTTACAAGCAACAATAGAGATAGGGGTCATTCGACCGGAGAGCCGACGAACATTTTCCAGACAGCAGCCCCCGCGTCTATCGACCAAAACGCAACCGTTTATGTACCGTTCGACCTGCTAAAACGTAGTGCGTAACGCGAACAAAAAAAAAAAAAAAAAAACAGACTCGAGGTCGCGCCATGCCGATTACCCAAACTTCCGTAACGCGATACCAGAATTAATTTTCACGCTTGAAAGAAAATCTATCGAGTGCGTCGCGAAAATCCGAGAGCTTCCGCGACGATTGTCTGGAAAGGGGGGGCCGTGAGCGATCGAGAATAGGATCGTTCGATAAATCAAGGGTGTCTCTGGATGTTATCGGACCGTGTGCCAGTGTCGTGTGTCTGAAAAGCCCCGAAATCGGTCGGTGAACGGAAGAGGACTCGAGATAAGGTACGCGAGGGAGCGGAAGGAACCATGAGCAACTCAGGAGCCATTCCCCTGATCTTGGTGAAGAAGGAGCAGCTCGTCGAAGGCAAGTAGTCTCAGTCTTTTTATCGTTGTCGTGGTCCTCGATTGCGCCGCCCGATGCACTCGTGACCGTTCCCATTGTGCCCGGACGGATGTTTCGCTCCGGAGTCGCCACTGGAGAGGAAACGACGTCAGGGCGTCTTTCTATCGATGGGGGATTCAATAGAGATCTGTGTCGCGCTCGGGGTGTCATCGGGAACATCCAATTTGAGATTTTTCCGCCGGATGAGAGGGTGCTTCTATACGTTACTCCGCTGATTCGCGTCTGGAACGTATTTCGTCGCTGATAGGAATTGTGTCGCGTTTATGTACCGTTCGATGCATTTACAGGGGAAATGATACTATTGGAATGTCCTCGGGTTTTGAGAGTTATTACATTCGCTACCGGCAGATGTTTTACGTTTCTGATACTGACAGGGAGAACTTTTTAGCCGTCCGTCTTCGATTGTTTTGATTATTGGATACGTTTTAAAGGATCGAAAAATAATATTTCATATTTAGGATGTGAAACGACTCCCTAAAGTATCAGCTGTAATAATAGCTCATCTTCGAAACTATCATAGATACAAGAAAACTTATTTTTCTTATTTCTCGGTCATTCAAAACATATCCAAATATCGAAACAATCGGAGTCGGACACCTAAAAAGCTTTCCTTGTGAGTAGATTTTAATCGAAAACAAATTATAATTTTATTGGACAGGTATCGAACTTGATGTATACATTTATTTTGTTGAGATACGTATCTAAAAATAGCCGAGATGCAGTAAATCTTTAGGAACGTTTTTGCTTTGCGGTCTCGTCTGAAACACACCGAACAATTTACTCTGTTAGAAGACGTCAACATCTGCTGAATGAAAAATTTTCATCGATGAGAACTTGCTATTTTATAAAGGAAATATTTTAAAGGAAATGTACCTTCTACAGTGCTTGAACACTTGTGAGGGTGGGTTTATTTCGATATAGCGGGGTACGAACTTTTTAAGCTAGCACGATGGGGTCAGCTATCGAGTGGCATCGACGGAAAATAGATCAGCTTAAAATAAACATTCGACATCAGTTTCATGTTACCCGCAGCGTCGTTAAATAATGCTGGTGTTATAATTGCGTCTCTAAAAATAACATCGACGAAAACGACGCTTCTATTGTCTTACATTTGGGCCAGTTAATATTTAGCAAAGCCGTCGATTCGTGATACCGTATCTCCTGATACGGAGCGATTATCTAGGATCGTGACTTCCTATTTAAAGCTTGCCCCTAAATGGGAGTTTCACGCGTGCGCGTAAAAAATATGTAGTCAGCCAGGAACTCGTGAAAATTTTCCACCGCGTACACGGTGAGTAGCTCGTTCTCGTGAAAAATAAAAAAAAAAAATTAAAAAAGAGAGTCGTTTGGCTCTGGAATAATTGAGGAAAATTTCGTTCCACAATTTCCACCACGAGTTTCACGTACGCACGTGTTTCACCGTGGAGTTTTAATTCCGGCAGGGGTTTAGAATTCTAACGACAGGGAAGTATGGAGAGGTCAACCAAAATAATGAAAAATAGTGTACCGTATTCACGAACGATCAATTTAGAATGAACGAAAATGGTAATGAAAATTTGAGTCTGACTGTGTGGTTCTCATTTCTTTTTCCTTTCCGATTAAAAAATTTACATAAGGTTGATGTTATTTTTACTATTTGTTCACGACCCAGGAGAAGATTCATAGACGATATAACGATCATCTTTTGCATTACTATCGCAATAGCTTTCACTGGTACATATTATAAAATCTAGGTCTGACTATGACCCTCCTATTCTACTGATTCATTGATCGAACGACCTTCTTTTTTATACAAAGCGATACGACTCCTCTTTTCCCTATTAAAGAGCGTATCCATACAACAGTTTCTTTCGCGACCATTTTAAGTATACCTAAACGATTTCAGAGCATCAAAATCATTATTTTCTCACCTGTTACCCCGACGAGAAACTTCGTCTGACCTGTGGCTTCGTAATTCTACTGACTCGTGCATCGAGCAAGATTCCAATTTACCTTCTGGCCTCCGCGATTGCTCCTCGTTAGGTTTCTCGTCGAAACCAAGCGCGCCTCGTAACCGAGTTAACCGGAGAAAGGTCCTTTCTCCCTGTCGCTCGTAAATCTCACCCGCGAAAGCTTCTCCCCGCGCGATTTTCTCTAGGATCGTTTTCGTGGCAAATCCACGGCAGCGTGTCTGTTTCCGCCTCACCTGTCCGTATACGAAATGGCTAGACCAATCCACCCGCGGATAAGCCTAACGGATCGTTCATTCCACGATTTACCCTGGTGCGTTCGTGCTCGCAACCCTTGTTTTTGTTAAACTTTACCTTCCTGGATTTGCAAGACAATTTCTTGTAGAATTTCTTTCTCGGACCTCCCTTCGATGAAGAAATTTAAGAGACGGGAAGAATTGATAGAATAATTACAACAAAGATTAAATATAAATGCAGTAGGAAGTGTCGAACTTTGGATTAAAATCTTAAATGAATTCCTATCCCCTCAGGGGCTGTAACCACGCTTGATCGTGGCTACAGTACGGGTCTGGCGATCCCGAGGTACCCTAGCTATAACACAGTGTCATTTATTGAAATTGTAACTAATGAAATTAACCCTTTGCACTCGAGGTCCTTTTTGGTATCTACTAGCAACTCGAGATGCATTCTTAACATTCTGTAACCACGAATGCTAAGCTTCGTAGTTAGTCGGAAAAGGAGGTCGCCTTTATCTCGTCGACAATCATTTTACCGACAGTTCGAGTTCCAAAGAAACGAAATCGAAACAAACATTATTGTTAGTCGATTTACTGCCAAGAGAGTCACCTCTGGAGTGCAAAGGGTTAATAAGACATCTTCCCTCTCTCTCGATAAAGTTCGAATGAAATCCACCGGTCGTCTAGCTCCGAATTCGATACCTCTACAATATCTCCTTCTCTCCAGGATTTTCAATTCCCAAAATGAATTCCCCGCGCCACCTGGCGCTTTACCGTGAATAGGAATTCCGAAACAAAGCGGCGAGTGTTTGACGTTGCAACGGAATTCGTAGTTGATCCTCTTTCGGCGACTCTCGCGTAAAACGAGCGGCGTTCCGTCGTTGAGGCGACTTGTTTTCCCGCAAAGCTGGCATTGTACGAGCAACGATATCTGAATGCGGGAGCTCGAGAACAATGGGGCGGGCCATCTCCACGGAAATCCTCCGCGGAAATCCTCCTCGGATTACCTTTGGCGTGGCTGTCCGTTGGAAATAACGCCTGTCCGCGAGACGTTCGCTCGAGCCTCCGAGGGGCGAAAAGATACGCGTTTTCCTAGACGCCCTCCGTCTATATTCGGGGGCGACGACGACACAGCTTTTTGTCTGCTCTTCTATCGGCCCAGTCGTTCCGGAGTCGACGGGATTGTCGCGCGACAATCGCGGAATCGATACCTCCGGCTTGGCACAGATCTAAGGGATGGCTTTTTTCCCTGACAAGGAGCGAGCTTTGGGAATTTATTCCGTGCGAACGTCGCGATGGACTCGTTTGGAATTTTTATCGTTCTTTCGGGGTGCTTTCGTGACGCGAAAAATATTTTTTGTTTATCGATAGAGTAAGTAATATGTACGGGACCGTCGGTTGAGTGAGACGATGTCGGGTACGTTCGTGGTGGACTTCGGGTTGGAGAAAGATATTACGTAACACAGGAATGTACAGTTATCGATGATCGATATAATTTGTATGAGTACTTGGAGGATGTAGTAATACCTGTAGCAAGTTTGAAATTGATAGGTCTGGTACTTCTTGTTAAATTAATTCGAGATGTTTTGTATATTACAAGGTCTTGGCTACATTCATGGTCAGTTTCGGATTGAATATTATATGACAAAAGAATGAATGATTATTAACGTTCGATAAAATTTACATGAGTACATCGATAGTCTCTAAATATTCATACCAAGTTTGGGATTGGTAATCATGGTACATTTTTCAGAATTGATTCACGAAGATGTATCGCAATTTAGGAACTAAAAGGAGCAGTATTCGTAGTTGTAACGCGAAATTGAAGCTCGATTTTCCCTCCGATAGGAACGTCTCGGTGAAAATACTCGCGGGAGCCTCGTGATTTACTCGTTCGCGAAACCTATACGTCGACGGCGGAAAGCAGCGGCTTTTAAACCATCCACTGGAAAAGATATACGTTTTCTCGGCCGTACGTAACCCGATCTAAGTTAAATCGGTCGATCGTTAATCTTTAAAGCTCGCCGGGGCACATAATGACCATAGTCGTACGCCTTTTACGAGGTTTAGTAGGTTTAGTTTCAAGGATGAGGCGGCGCAACACGGACACCGAGTAGAAATAACAGGAACGGTTCTGATCGTTACTTCTTTAACGTCGACGATTCGCCACGGGAAATTTCGCTGTAATTCTTGCAAGGAAACCGGGGTAAGTCTCGGAAGAAGGGATTTATCCACGGCCATTAAGCTTGTTACTTTCAAACTATTTAAAACCCTCTTATTAAACAGTTAACACATAGTATAGCTGCAAAAATATGAATAATTTATTTTATTTATCGTTATTATTTTTATGAGATTCAAGGATTGCGCGGTTTATGATTTCTTTAGGCCGATCGCACACGGTCGCAACCGATCAGTTTCAAACCACTATGAAACTAGTTGCACGCGACCGTGGATCTAGGTAAAACAAAGATAGCGGAGTAGGTAACACAAAGAGCGCAAACGGTTTGCAACACTAATTTCAAATCGGTTGCGCCCGTGAGCGTTCGGCTTTAGAGATTACACACGGAGCAACCGACTTGAAATTAGTGTTGCAAACCGTTTGCGCTCTTTGTTTTACCTACTCCGCTATCTTTGTTTTACCTAGATCCACGGTCGCATGCAACTAGTTTCATAGTGGTTTGAAACTGATCGGTTGCGCCCGTGTGCGATCGCCCTTAGAGATTGCACGCTGTCAAACCGTACGAAACATTTCTCTTCGACTCCTTCTTATCTTCGC